TTTCAGATAAAATAAATTCAAATAATGCATTCTTTTTGCAATATAGGATTAAAGACTAATCCCTAGATTTACGTCTTTCGAGAGGGAGATTTTTTTTCCTCAGATTGCACGTTACTTCACACCAAACTGTCGAAATGTGATAAGGACCTGTGACTGTCAGATAAAAAACGTCAACTCTACGGCGACACTGACGAATGGCATGTTTTTCATTGGTCATTATTTGTATATTTACATAAAAAGTGTAATTTTGAGGAACAAAAAGGTGTTCCTGGAAGAAAAACTCTGTTCAACTTTTTGAGCAAGTACTTCTGTCTGAATGATTTGTATAAAAATTGAAGTAGTATTTATCTGAAGATGCACCTATAATATTTTTGGAATGCACACTATTTTTGTTCAAGATACTTATTTTTATTCTACAAGCTTTTCAATTTAATTAAGATTTTTTTTAAACTTCCCGTCAATGAACACATATTTTGATTTGCGTAAGGGGGCTTGGTGCATATATTCTCTCTCCTACATCATTCATGTAAACTTAATACCTTGAATGTTTTATGGGCGTTTAAACAGTAAGTAAAACACTTTTAAGTGTAGATTATCGTACAAATATTTTTGATAGATTGATTCGAAAAAAAAATATTTTGATATCTTTAGGTAAGGTGATTGACTACTAAAGAGTGTATTGAAATACTGGGCGTAGTAGCTTGCTACTTTGTTATAGAGCTTATAAAATCATTTTATCTGGGTATTCTTGTTAAAGAAAAAATCATTGAAGCGTCGAAATGTTTGCTAGTAATTTTTTGGATTGATATTCTAACGTTATTTTGTTTCTTGGCATGCCACAGTAATCCAATGCGTCGAATTTTATAGATTTTATATCTAAAATTATTATTGAAATCACACAAAATTTAACAAAATACAACAGTACCAAAGCATACGACTTTTCACTATTTTATGCTATCGTCAACTTCCCTTACTTATGCAGCAATATACCTTCATCACCTGCATACGAAGATTATGTATCTCAGTTGATTTGATACGCAAGAGCATGCTCTATGTATGAACAATTTCTAAAACAAGGTCAATTATTGACAAACAAGTTGATGAAACAAGAATATTAGTATTCTCGTTTAAAGTCATCATTTCGTAAGTTCTATGGTCGATACAATGATACAATGACCTCTTCAGCAAATACAATTTATCTTTGAGTCATATGCTGACTGTCAACTTGACACCGGATTTTTCCGTTGTTTCCCGATCATGACAAGGAGCACACGGCGGGTGTGGCTGGTCGCAAGGGGAAACTCAATCCTCCATGGTAACTGATCTCATCTCTGATGTTTTGGAGGTCCGTGTTTGCTCTGCACCTATTTTATATTGTTTTATGGATTTTTGATCTTGAATACTGTTCGTTATCTCGATATGTTTAAGGCAGCCATTCCTCAAGATCAAATGCTATACTTGTTTGACATCCTGAGCAGTACTTTTTTTTCATTATAAATGGAACTCTCGTAAATACCCAATGTTACCCAATGTTAGTAGTCATCTGGAATTTTGTGCAAAAAAAAATTTCCTTCTATGATATATGTTCTGAAGTGCAAAAAGTTCTCAGAATGTACATTTTCTCTGGAAAGCCAATTGGGGTAAAACAACTTTTTTCTACAAACATATTTTATAATTCTTAAATAACTCCTAAATTTTAAGATGTTGTCCTGCATTTTTTTATTTGATGTTTTACGAACTATCAAGATTCATTGCACACCTTTGTCAAAGGGGAGATAAATATGCATTGGTGATAATGATAAAATGTCTTTATTTTGTGTGCTGAAAAACATTATGAAATCAAGGAGGAGATGTTGAATAGATCGGTAACATTTGCTTAAATACTAACTATCACAAAATAGTGCAGTGGACCTATTTATATTATGCATGTGCAAGAAAAATTATAACAATGCTTCCAGTATTTTTTTTATATAAATACATCATTATAATCAGGCAAAACTATGTTTTTAGCATTTCTCTCTCTCTCTCTCTCTCTCTCTCTCTCTCTCTCTCTCTCTCTCTCTCTCTCTCTCTCTCTCTCTCTCTCTCTCTCTCAGTATTTGATTATTAATTTTGATAGTTTTCGATACGAAATATGCTTACTAATGGTATTCCGATGTCTATTTTTTCAAAGGAGGTAACTGATCACAATTTTATTTGTTAACAGGTAATAAATAAGAGTTGTCTTTCCATTTTGGCATACTCGTACTGTTTATACTAAAAGAAATTAGATTTAAAAAGTGCATTCATAAGGCAATTCTGATTTTAAACATCAAATTGTGAAAGAGGTTCAAATAAATTAGTAAGTACGACTTCTACAAAAACATTATAAATATGTGTGAGTCTGAGTTATATTGTCTCTAGCTAGTTAAATGGACTTCAATTCCATTTGTGTGAATTTTGTCATAGTTTAAAATTTTAACAAACCAAAAATTGTTAAAATACTAAACACAGATATAAAAAAGAGTTTGAGACATGTACATGTATGACAAATATGGTATGACAATAATAAGAAAACTACGTGTCTGTCATAAAATGTAAAAGAAACATAAAGTTATAACGAAAATAGAGAGATAAAGAGTGCTGAGATAAATTTAAGATGACCACAAATTCCTTAGTCTTCACGTGTCCGCCTTTAATCAGCGTTTTTGTGATAGTGTGATTCAACCTTATAACTCGTTATGTGCTGTCTGTATCAATACCCGGTATATCCCTACTACTTCATTTATTCTTTAACTTATATGCATTTCTCTTTTTTTGTAGGCAAAAGTTGCTTGCTTGAATACTGGCGTGGCTCTAGTTGAACAAAAACATAAAACAAAATATTCAAAAGAAATATTCAATTTTGATAGGATATCCGATGAAGGAATTGTTTGTTGATGATAACACAATGAAACATATGGAGATAACAAACAGTATTTAATATATAAAAAAAAATCCATATAACAATACAAAATAGGAGCAGAGCAAACAGGGACGTCCAGAACATCAGAGGTGGGATTAAGTACCATGGAGGAGTGATCGAGCTACCCTGCCGACCGGTCACACTCAACGTGTACTCATTGTCATGATCTTGAAATAATGGGAAAATCCGTCTTCAACATGTTCAATACAGTGTATATATAAATAATGGACTAACAATTAGTAAGAAAAACGTCAGTCAGCATTTGAATCAATGATAAATTGTATTTGCTGAAAACATCATTGTTTCGACCATAGAACTAACGAAATGATGACTTAAAACGAGGCTGCTGATATTCTTGTTTCATCAACTTGTCAATAATTTACATTGTTTTAGAAATTGTTCATACGCAGAGCATTCTCTGCGAATCGAATCAACTGAGATATACTAACTCTGTATGCAGGTGATGCAGGTAAACTGCTGCATAAGGCATCCCGTTTATCATAGAGCATGGTTGTTACTTGTAGATTACCATTAATGTCTTTTTCAAGTAAAATATCCAAATATGATACAGATGTGCCAGACACTGTCGTATCTTTTATCGCAAGTTCACCAGGATATATCGTATAGACAGATGTGGAATGGAAATTATCTTTGTTCGTTGATATATCTGAATGTCGAGTTTAAGGCCACAGCAAGTGTTTTCTTTTCACGTTTAAGATTTTAGACAAATTTTAGACAAATTCTGCTTCATATGAATACAAAAATAGGTCTGCTAATAACGGGGCGCAATTCGTAACCATGGGAATTCAAAAAGATTGTTGGAAAACCTGGTATCCAAAAACAACATAGATACATGTATTGTCAATCAGAAACTCGCGCATCTTTTTGGTGTCAATTTAAGAGTACTTGTGTGTACAATCAGAATGTTTTTCAACAAAGTAATTTTGCAAATGACTAATGACAAGATAAGTGAATATACGAGTTCTAGTTTTATTGAAAAAGCAGCTGTCATTGGTCAAATAGTCAGGACTTTAATTTATATTTGGGAATGGTATACATAAAGTTGAAGAGTCGTAAACTTTTAAGCTGTTGATTTTGATAAAATCTTGTGATTTTAAATTGTCCAAAAGTTCTTTGGAATTTTTAAGTATCCACATCTGATTTACACCACTTCTTTAATATATTGTTGAACAGTACTTTTGAAGTATTGCCTCCTTCACTTAAGGTTAAGATCATGAAAGGTTTTTTTTCACATCTGGAAATTCAGTGTGTTTATAACCGCAAAAAGATTAAAAATATTCCTTTTTTTAAATAAAACCATTATAATTATTTTTTTTTTCATTAAAATTATATAATGTAATTATAATAATATGAAATTACATTTATATATGTAATTGCATTTACGTTTTTGCTCCAATGGAATGTAAAAAATCTTTAACCATTTTTTATTTCTAGAATTAAATTTATTTATTTTTTATAGAGTAACTTCTTTATTTGAGAGCTGTTAAGATACAGACTAGTATCAGGTGTGAAGGCTGGCTATCGGTCTGTTTCAAGCAATACTGATATATAGGTGAAATTAACTAATATGAATCATTTCCACTATCAAATAACAAATGCATATAAATAATAAGCGTATTGTTTACGTAAGGGATTACATTTTGCTAATCGATAATCTATTGTTTGTGTGCACTTTCATTAAAAATCAGAGAACAGATTGGCGTCATGCTCAAGAATTATTTCTGCTTTTTGTTTGAGAATCTTTAAATATAATCCAGAGTAATCAGAATTAAGTTTATGCAATTCTTTAAACTGCTTTTTAGCACTTTTTTAAACAGTCAATTACAGCGACATGGAAATTGCAATGTCATTCATTCAAATACGTATGCCGTAAATAAAAATAAGAAGCAAATGGCCTTTAGAGCTTAATTCTTTTGACAGTAATAACACAACAAAGAAACAATATTTTAAAGACAGTAATCCATGAGTAATGAGAAAAATCATTTGACAACTATTGGCAAATAATTTAAAAAATGATATTATAATACATGTACATGTATACATTATATAAAATTAAAATTATCACAGATGATACAGCATATTTAAGATATCATGAGTCCATTGTTCAGGAAACAGCTTCAAATCTGCAAGTGAACAGTGGCGGGATCCAGTTTTACAATACATCTTTGTCAGTCATCTTAGTACTTAAATTAATCTAATTTTACAGTTTGTTATCTGAATGATTGTGGGGTAGGTGTGCGTCGTTTGCTAGATCCTGGTCTAGTTATGTGGCAGTGACATGGACGATACCGAAAGATCTTCAAAGAATGTGGACCAGATAGACTAAACTCTGTGGTCACTAGGTGTCCCTCTGGTCCCACTGCGCATGCCTGCACGCATCCCGCTTGATCCGTGGGACAGATGGCTTGTTTGATGAGGGATCCCCGATCATTGTACACGTTTACAGTGTGGTTCAGAGAGTCGGCCACAAGGATCTCCCCCATTCTATTTATAGCGATTCCAGATGGAATCATTGTCAATCCTTCACCATGAGAACGGGGTGAAAATTTAGAAATGTATCTACCTTCGTAGGTGAAAAATTTTATCGTCGAGTTTACAGCATCACATACTATGATTTCTTGTCTGTTATTAACACATATTTTGCATCCAAAGCTATCACGAGAAATCCCTGGAATAGAAAATCGATGAATCAGTTTCCCTCCCTTTTTATATACCTCTAAGGTTCTGCGTGTTGATGACACAATCACGTGACCACTGTAGTCACATGCAATACTGTAAGGTTCATCGACCGTTTCGAACACACTCCTGAACTGTCCGCCCTGAGTGACGACCTGAACTCTTTTGTTTCGTTTGTCGGCCACCGCCAGGTCTCCGTTCGGCATTTCCGCCACGTCTGTTGGCTCCGAAAATTGAAGTTTACCGACTCCTCTTTTCCCGATTTTCCCAATAAACACACCAAAAGAGTTGAAAATCTGTAATCGATGATTCATGGTGTCTACCACTATAATATCGCCATCACGTGTAGTTACCACGCTCCGCGGGAAGTTAAAGACCCCATCTCCATGGCCACGGAGTCCGACATTGAACAGCAACTTTTCGGGTCTGATTAAAAAAAAGGGAAAATGTAAGTAAAAAGTCCCTTTTCATTAATGGTTTCAACTTTACGTTCATATTTTTGAATCAGCGATACATTATTGCTGTGATTTTTCATCAGAGACTGTAAACAAAATGAAAGTAGCAATTATAGCAATCCTATATAGACAAGCCGCTACCAAAATAACGCTATTGGCCTTCTGTAAAAAAAAAACAATTTTGGTATTTCTAATTTCCATCTACACCACCTTGCATTAAATTTTCATAACCAAACTGTTTATACTGTACGTGTGCAACACTCTATTGAACGTATAATATTGACTCCCAACAAACTAGCAAACATTCCTACGCCATAAAAGCCGCAGTTTACCATACTATTGTACCTCTCCTTCTCAGGTACTGGAATCAACAGAATAACCTGCTTCCTGGAAATCAATCAATGTTAACTCACAGGTTAATATGCAACGCCAAAGACTTTTTAAGTTATTGTGACAATGACTTCTTTAAATGCTTCAAAAGTTTGCTTTCGATGCCAGAGGCTTACATTAGTATAATACATATAAAGCTGTTACATGTACAGTGTATGTCATAGTTTCATTTACATGTGAAAATACTTATATTTAGATGTGTTCTTCGTTGCAGTGAACAAATGTCTATGGTATAAGCAGTGAAGTGTACTCACTTTTTGGTCCCGTCTGAGTAAGTCTCTTTGACCTTCAGATTAAGGGAGGTGGCACTTCGGATTGTCTCTTTGAGTCCCTGGGACAGAAGCCAAGTCTCCCACTCCCGGGAATCAACCAGGTCTTTCATGGCCTCTTGTCGGCAGTCATGGGCTAAGAAAAAACATTATCGTTTTATCCTGAGATTTGCAGAAGTATTTGCAAGATAACAATTATTTTCTTTCTTCATCCACAAAAGGTTGATATTATATCAATCAAACACTGTTTACTATTAGGCAAGTTTTGCTTTAGTTGAAAGTAAAGTTTCTGAACCATAAAAAAGGAAAGCTTACCTCTTGGTCTCCTAGAAAATATGGTGGGCGCCTTGTTATGGTAAAGTTCTTTGTAAGTGGAGACCGGGTATTTTAGTTCTGGGGAGGTATACCCGTGACCGTACAGACGGTACCGAGACTGAAAGTCCACCATCTCTTTTCAGGGATCACAACACGGCCATAATGTCTTAAAGAAAATAATTATTCAAACCGTAACCAACTGAGTATTTTTTCCCCCTTATTTCCTGACCCCATCACGACATCTTTTATGATTTCTGGGAATTATAACAGGAGTTTTGTTCGATTTGCTTTTGCTTTTTTTTTTGTATCTTTTATGTTCTTTACAAAATGTTCAACGTTGCAAAACAACTACTGCAAAAATATTATTCATAAACTAGAAGAAGTGTTTCCGGGTGGAAGTGGTTTATTGGAGTTTTATATATAAATCAATATGGTTCCATTTCAAACAGTCGATAATTTGGCTAACTTTAAACCTGTTAAAAAGAGATAAAGATTTTAAACGCTAAGAGTGACTTAGAAATCTGCATACATTTGTTTAGATCGTTCTCTACCGTATCCTCTAATCTCCTTCATAAAGAGATATCACGATTCGATTCGATTTAAATGTCAGACATAGGTGTAGATTTGGGAACAATTTGCTCTACTGTGGTGTACTGCTGAAATCAACTTTCTCACAGGTCAGATATATCATTTTGCAAATAAGGGCTTGATCAGGGAGTTTAAAGTCGAGATTTCATTGCTCTTTTATGACCTATTGGGGGATCAATGCAAAATTGCCTTGTCACAAAATGTGTAGTGTAAACAATTGCTGTTTACTTAAAGTTTAACCGCAGAAGTTCAATATATATGCGGTATGAAAAAAATTGTCACTCTTGTAGCAGAGATACTCATAAATATTGTTTTTAATCATATTAAGCTAGATAATTAACATTTTTTTAAAGAAAATATTCTTGTTTTGCCTTCGCATTAAAGTTAACTAAAATCAAGTAATTTTTAAATGCCCATACTTTAAATAAATCATAAATAATCAAGTTTGTTTATAGCAGACTGCACGTAAGAATATAAATTAATTTATCGAATAAAAATAGTGAAAACCCATATCCTTTACTTGTATATGTCTTACTTGTTTAAAAAAGACAAAATCCGTTGATCACTATTACTTGTAAATACTTCTCATCTTCAGAATCAGCTTGCTTTCTCGTACGCACACCCGTAGCAACGGAAGTCACGGGCGAGACGAGACTTGCTAATTTGAATTTTTAAATGCCTAACACTTGAGACTCTTTAAACGGTTTATGAATGGATAGACTTAATCTATGATCAATTTAATTAAAATATTACAAGTACTTGAACCTTCGATTGCTCAGCGTTGGGCAGTTTTGAAGAATAAATAAATAATTATTAATTGATATTGAGAAAGAATTCGAAATCCTTATCGATGTTAGAGGTTACCGTTTTGTTACGGATCTTTTCTTTTAAGATAAAGATCCGGAATCGATAACTTGAACAGTGCCAACTTGATATACTGATAAATATACCCTATCTAAGACGTGAGCTTTGTTCTATTTTGACACATTCATTAATGTACCTGTCCAGGTATCTCCCAGAACAGTAGTAAGACATTGAGACTGTCACACTACTTACCTAGAAACATAGATACCTTTGTTAGATGATAGTTAGTGTTTGATAAGAGAGAACCATGAACTTAGCCAGAATTTCTTAACCTTGGTAATTTTCGGTTACCTTCATGTTTCTTTTTTTTTTTTTTTTCAAAAGTCTGTACCGTAAGGGTGCACACCTCCCCCACTTCCAATAAACATTTCTGTTTTGTGATAATTTTTTGTCAACACAAAATTTCAAAGAAATAACTTAAGTTTATATTGTGTGAAAATGTCTACAGATTATATTTTCATACATCATCAACTTTTTCAACCAGCTTTTGCATAGAAAAATTTGAAAGCAAAATGGAGAAAAGCCACAAGTCCCCCTTTTAACACATTGAAACATTGTAAGCCATAATCTAACTAACGTCTCAAACGTGAGTAATCTTGATCCATATCATTCTATTATATTATCGACGTTTATCACAATATGGATATTATAACAGCATTCATTATATGTCTCGAATGTCTTTTCAACATTCGTGCATCCAGTATAGGACAACCTGTTTATCCTATAACGGCTTCCCTTTTCCTAGACAGAACGGAAGTTTCGGAGTGGAACGAAACTTTGGACCAATTTCAAAAACAAGATGGCGACACTGTGTGGCTAGAAGCGCCACCACTGGTTCGCCGCTCAAAGGAAGACTTACAAAATGACCCAGTTTTCAAATGGTGCATAGAGCATGACAAGGATACAGCGGCTGAGGTTGATTGTTTTACGCATGCGCAACAGGAACTGACTAATCACGGTCTTAATATAATTTCTTTTGCAAGTTACCAGTACGAAGAAGACTTCAGCAAAGTTATTGTCAAATGCCCAAAGTATGACAGGAAGATTACGACAGAATATACATATTTTCGCATTGTTTTGCCTGGTAAACAAGATGGGTAAGTTTGTATATAGGCCTAATACTTACCATCATCTCAAACTTTTCATATTTGATACTGGATTGAAGATATGGTTTTCTCTTATCATTTAACAATCTACTGATAACAGTATTAAAAACAACGCTAAAAAATGTTGTTGTTTTTTTCGTTCTGATAATATCTCGGCTGGGTTTAGCTATAAACAACTATTCGAACACTGTGGTTCAATTTTACAAGCAATCTATTTTCAGTCTTTCATGGTTTGTTTTTCAGTGGTTCATGTGAATTTAATGGGATGGATATTGTTGTCCTCTTTACATCTTTTTCTGGACCTGATGCTCATGAAATTTTACTTGAAAGTGCCTCCGTGAGAAATATATCTGTCTACTTCGGAGTGCCGCGCCTTCCAAGAAGCTGGGAATATGGAAACATTGATAAAGAGTTGCTGCCTGCATATTTTGAATGGGTACGAAGAGTTATGGGAGATCATAAATCTAGATACTCTAACAAGACTTTGGAATTATATTCTTCGTATTCAGCAGTACCCAGTAAACCTATTCGAATCCCACTTTATAGAACACTCAAAGGATATTATATATCTGATGACGTCAACCTGGGTACTGTTGATAGATATGGAGACATGCTGATGATATACGCTTCCTTGGTTTCAATTGCAAAACAAGAAGTGTGTAAATCATTGAAATTGGCTATTGCGCCTTCGATAGATATGACAACTTTTGACCAGAATAGAACAGTAATGGATCATGTTACCGGATTTGGATACATTGTTGAAACACATCTAGATGTAATAGCAGTGCACGAAGGCCGAGGTTACGGGAAGGCGCCCTATTATTGGCCGACACAAGCCAATCAACCTGTAAAAAAAATAGATCCGACATTGGATAAGATTCTTCAGCAGATAAATCCGAACTGGAAAGAAAATGGAACGTTCAAGGAATGGTTCACTGGGAGTATTTACGAGGTAAGGACCGTCATTTGTGTGAAACTTTTCTTTTTCTGATTATTCTAACCGTTTTAAAGAATAATTTTGTTGTTATCAAATTTTTGAAGTCTTTTCAATTGTTCGAAATGTACAGGTCTTCATTACAGTAAAGCAGACATCCCCTTATTGTAAGGAAATCAAGCAGGATTCACATGACTGTCATGCCTTATTTCACTCACTACGTATTTTTCTTTTAGCTGTTTCAGGCACTTGGAAATAAAACCACGGAATTAAAAAAGCAACACAACACCCTTGAACTTTGGCTAGGACTGGAGGCATTTGATGATTTGAACGACGACCCTTGCATACCACTCACTAGTTATAGCAAGACTTCGGTAATGGACACTGTAAACAAGAAAAGATTGGACTTTGCCTTGTCACAGGGCGCTGCTAAGGTCCAAAAAGTGATTGCATTTTCGTGGGACCCTGATTTTACATGCACCACAAAGAGACATAACGTGACATTGTCAGACAGCATCATACAGGACGCAAAAAGGCCCATTATATTCGAGTGCCGTTTTCATTCCCCACAGAATGCTTCAGTTGTTGTGATTGGTATCAACATCATGGGCTCAGGTTTTCAAGTGAGCAATTTTAGTTTCTTTTCCTTTCATACACTTACAAGAGATGCATGCTTAAGCAAAAGAAGATTTTTGCATCAAAAGTGAAGGCATCACTCTACTTTCAATTTCCCTTTTAGATCGATTGGGCGGATAAAGATGGCCGACGCCATCAGGCTACAGCTTATGGTTGTTATATAGAGGGGGACTATGGTCATTATCGTCCACTGATTCCCTCCCTGGAGTACGTCCAGGCCTGTGATCCGTGGGACGACACTCAACTTTCATATAAAGGCTACGTCAAAGTGAAAGCACTAGAAGGATACCAAGAATGCATATTCGAATACGACTTTTCTGAATTTTTAAACAATTAAATGGTCCTCTTTTATATAATAATAAAGATCCTTATTTTGGAATCCCTTTGATAATAATTGTTTTATTCATAATTGAGGTAAATTTGTTCAACTGTATCGGCTTATTAGTTTTAGTAAAAAACACAAAAGTACGAAGAAATATGTATATGTATAAATCTGAACGTGTTGCAAAAGAAAAAGATTATCAATTTGAACATTTAAATTTGTTCTTTCTATTTTTCCGGATTTTCCATGCAACCTTGACTTTGGAATGCATTATCGGACAGTAGATAAGTAAAAGACTCTTATCATTGATGTCAACATGAAATCAGTATTTAGTTTCTTCGTACTTTCCCTGTCCTTCCTATGCGCGTCTTGTGTCCCCTCTACCCCAGTGTATCCCGTCACAGCCGCGCTGTTTGAAGACCGGTTCTCACTCAGGGAGTGGAATGACACAATAGACCTGTTCAAGGAAATAGGCGGCGACACTATTTGGAAACATGCACCACCAATGTTTCGTCGCTCGATACAAGACCTGCAGAATGACACTGTGTTCAAGAACTGTGTCGATAATGGGAAAGATTGCTTCTCGCAAGCGCAAAAGGAACTGACCAGTAAAGGTCTGAAGATTCTCTCGTTTGCAAGTTATCAGAATTCGGAGGCGTATGGTGAAGCCGTACTCAAATGTCCACAGTACGACAAGAAGATAGCGATATCAAAAGATACTTACTACAGGATAGTTTTACCTGCGGACAAACTGAGGTAAATGTTACATAGTAGGTGCTTGCTTTGATTACTAGTGCAGCATATTTTGCCTTCGACTGTGTTCGGATTTGCTCTTTTTAAGTGTTTAATTCTACGGGTATGTTTAACGTTCGCTGAACAACACTCTGTCAAAAGAACCTTGTCCAGCATACATAAAATAGGTACATGTACAAGTAGGTAACGAAAGCGTGACTTCTCCTAAACTATACACCGTTCAAACGACCGTGATTTATTTTTTTTACAGCTCTGCCCAGTGCAGCAATTATAAAGGAGAGAACGTGGTTGTCTTGTTCGCCTCTTTGTCTGGCCCCGAACCACATGGACTTCTTCTGGAGAGTGCATTTGGTAGGAATGTTTCTGTGTATTTTGGAATCCCTCGTCTCCCTCGGCAGTCTGATAAAGCGGTTGACATGCAATTGATGACGGCATACTATGAATGGGTACAACGAGTCCTGCTGGACCATAAAAGTAGATACACCGTCACCAGATTCCAAGACTTTTCTACCATCGGAGGTAGAACGCCCACAACGAAAAAGTTCCTTTACGACGCAGTTGTGGGATATTATATATCTGATGAGGTCAATCTTGGAAACGTTAAAGAGGAACAAAGTATTATTTCTGCATATTCCACTTTGTCTTCGGCAGTCAAAAGCCTTGTCAAAAAGAAAACGGCAATATCTCCTATGGTGGACTTGACGAAATTCGGATCGAACAAAACAATAGAGGATCACGTACAAGGACTGCAGGTGCTTGCAAAAACCTCTGTTGATGTAATAGCCATCAACGAAGGGCGTGGTTACGGGAAAGCTCCATACTACTGGCCGACACAGGAGGATTTACCCATATCACAGATCGATAGTTCATTAGACAAGATCTTGCAAAGGATAAATCCCAACTGGAGAGTCAATGGGACTTTCAGAGATGGATTTACAGGCAGTGTCCATGAGGTATGATTATTCCAAAAATATCAAATAGGTTCCAATACCTGTATTTGTAAATTGGTTTCCATCATGATTGATGGCAAAAGGACCCCGTCATCAATTTAACTAAGGATTCATATTTTTATCCGTAGTTGTTCCGTGCTCTTGGAAATGAAACCTCCTTTCTCAACCAAAATTCCTCAAAGTTTGAACTCTGGCTCGGTATAGATGCTTTTGAAGACTTGAATGACGATCCTTGTATTTCTTCAAAGAACGTTGAGAAGACCATGAACGCTGTCAACAAGTCCAGAATAGATCTCGCTCTTTCTCATGGGGGTTTTGCTGTACATAAAGTAGTTGCCTTTTCTTGGGATCCTAATTTTACGTGCAGGACCAAACGGTTGAAGAATTCTCTGGCAGATGCTATTCTGAATGATTACGGTCGTCCAATGGTTGTCGACTGCCGCTTCCACTCCTCCTTTAATCGTTCTGTTGTTATCCTTGGGGTTAACCTCTTAGCCTTACAACAAAGCTTTAAGGTATGCCACAAACGAGGTAAAAATTATTAAAGTAACTTTAAGTGTATTGAAAATGTGCAATGTTGTGAACAGGTGAAGCTATATATATATGTATGTTTTAGTGCTTCATCCTTGCAGATCTGATTTTATCAAGTGATCATGACTTTGTTTATTTCTGTAGATTGATTGGCCAGACAGAGATGGAAACCGCCATACATCCAGTGCCTATGGTTACTATTTTGAGACTGACTACGGGTTAGATCACGGACTGATTCCTACCATTATTTACACTCAGACCTATGACCCTTACAACGTCATTGACCTTGCGGACAAGGGTTACGTTGCTGTGCAAGCCGGGGGTGCCTACACCAGTTGTATTTTTGAGTTCGATTTCACGCGAGAGACGAAGAGATAAAACATTTTAAAATTACTATGATTCCTACACGTTAATTCGTGAATTATGATCGTTGTATTATGTACATAAATCAGTCTCAAATATCTGCATAATATTGCTGTAGAAAATACATTTCTTTGTGCTTTGAATTCTAACAAACGTTTTGGACTGTTAAACATTTATTTTAGTGCTTTCAAGAATTAAAAGTTGGGGCAGGAACTTGAAAGCAAACAATCTTTGTCAAAAAAGGGGTAATAAGGGGGGGGGGGGGGCATCCCATATATGCATCCCATATATATAACTTATGTTATGGAGGGGTCACATATACATGAACATATACACCCGTCTTTTCTACAGCCATGCATCATGTATGGTGTATACCTAAGTGTGGGAACATGCACTATTTGTAAATGGCAATACCAAAATATCATATATTTAATGAAAATTGTCTACATCTCAACTTCCGTGGAGGTTTATTGATTCAGTCATTGTCGGTGCTCGATCAAAATATTAGATAGATCTCATTGACCAATTGCCCGAAGTGTCGGGTAAAGGTTTAAATTTTCAGCCCTCCACCGGCAGGTGGTGGCGTCTCCATGTGGGTGAAAAATTCTTTTGGGGATGTTAAACAACAAACGAACAAGAAACCGATCCAAATGTTAGAATACAAAAAGATGCTTGTGTTTCTTATTGTTTTTTGGAGACTATGCATGTACAATCTGTTGCAGGAATAACCTGGGGTATCAGTTCGCCCCATTATTAGCAGACCCTTTTTTGTGGTCATATAAGGCAGAATTTATTCAAAATCTTAAATAAGAGAAGAAGAAAACATTTGTGGCCTTCAACTCGGCATTTAGATTATATTGTAGCTGCAGATCCATAGCTCTCTGGCCAAAAAAAAATTGAGATGTGCAAGTGGGGGTTATCCTAAATGTTCATATTTTGAGAAATTTCAAATAGCCTTAAAGCGGTAATGTTTTCTAGAATAAACTCTAGGATTCTTAAAGGTACTTGGACACAGATTTGAAGTTATTTTTTTCTCTATAATATTACGACTTATATATTTTAATAGCATTTCACACAAAAATTAATTAAAAATCTTATTTTGTTTAAGATATTGAAATTTCAAATTTTTCGGCGGGTTTGATTGACATATCCTTGCACTCTCACAAATTTAATTTTATATCAAAAAAGTGGCTTGTGTTTATTGAAAAAATATTAATTTAATTTCAGAGTAGACTATGCAAGCAAAACAAACACACAATATATTGTCAGTCCGTGCAGTTGTGGTAAGGTATCAGATTGAACGCCCCATAAATATAAACAATAACAGCAGACCCTTTTACAAAAACTGTGGTCATATAAGGCAGAATTTATTCAAAATCTTAAATAAGAGAAGAAGAAAACATTTGTGTTTTGCCTTCAACATTCGGCATTTGAATTATATTGATAAAAGTTTTAATATTTCCATAAAACACTCTCTTTCCTAAAAAAAAAAGTTAAAATGTGAAAATGGGATGGTTATCCAAAAAATTTAAATGTTCATATTTTGAAAGAAATTTTTCAAATTTTTGTGTGAAAGCCTTAAATATATAATGTTTTACAGAAAAAATGAGAAAATAAACTTCAAATCTGGATACCTTTAACTCAAAACCAAAAGAAAAACAAAAATTAAAATTTTCAGACACAAATTTTATTGAACCACTTACTACAGAAGATCTAATAATTGACACAGATTTGCGACAAGTCTGAAATCGAATGTGAGTTTCTATGGAGATATTACTACATTGAAGTAACACCACTGTTTAAAAGAACAATCTGGGACATGCCCTTTGACCTTTACAAATTAAAATAGACTATGGTTACTGTTTCTTACATTGCATTGCATGCATTACATGGTAGACCTGTGGTTGAGTCCTATATGATGAATAAACAAGAATTTAAACAAAACAAACTTCAACAATAACAACAAAAGTATTAACTCTTGTTCAGGGAAAACAATCCCTGATTTTTGATGTGCATTCAATGACAATGTCCTTTCTCCGAGATTCTACCATAAAAAACAGGCATCAAGCTGGAATTCAAAGTTAGAGATTTCCTTGTAAATACTTGTTCAAAATGTTATAAATAATAAAAGTAATATACAAAAATTAAAAATATTTTCAAACAACCTATACTTCACAATAAATGCCATTCTTTCTTGTAAAGCTAAACAATTATTGGATTTCCTGAATTAGACGTTTGTTTTTGTGTAAATGATGGAATGTACTGATAGGAATGCCTGTATGTACAGCAATGAGACAGAATGATTTACAGCTAAAACACAAGATCAACGCTTAATGTCCAAAGAAAGTTGTCTCCTAGAATGACTGCAGAAATGTTCATCTCTCAATGTCCAAATAGAGCCACCATCCTATATCGAATATAGAAATGGTAATCTCTGCAATCCAGAGAAAATGCTGTCTCCTTCTGAAATGACCACAAGTTGGTCATCTTCCAGTGTCCAGAGAAACTCATCCTGCTTTAATGTCGACAAAAAATGGTCATATCTTCAAGTGAAGTTATTGGTGAGATTCTAACACAGCTGATCATTAATCAATAACGTGTAAAGTTCAAGCACTGATTAATCTTATCCAAAATGTGAAAAAAAAATCAAGTTTTGACACATCAGTTTTTAAGTACTGTTTTCTCTTTTCAACTTATAAAAACACATAGAAAATGCAGCAAAGAGAAAAAGTCTTTGATTTTCTTTACAATTATTTCAAAAGTAACACAGTATATAAATATCAATACAGCCAGGGATAACTGGCAAGAAAATACAATTGAGTGACTCTTGAGAAAAAGATTCATTTCGCTAAAAATTACCAACTATCACAGAACATATTCATAAACCGGATCTACAATTCAACAACCTGATGATAAAACTACTAAAACCAGTAACCTTGACCTCCCCCAACAACACTAATTCATAGACTTTAGGACATCTTTGTTGTATAGATCTGTGTGTAAAACAGATTCCCATACACTTCAGTAATTCAAAACTAAATACCTTTACAACAAATGGATTATAAGAATTACTCATATTTTTTTAATAGTTTACATTTCTTCATGTTAACAGTACCTCAGTATCTACTGAGTTTAAATAATGGAATTTACATATCAGGATATACACACACAATATATGGGTCAGTTTATGGTGTGATATTGCACGAAAATTTGGAAGAGTTGTTCTTCCTTTGTTTTCAGAACAGATCTCAAATTCCAAAAAAAGAAGCATCCAATTTTAAAATCACTTATGATTGATATTCATCGAAATATTTTAACATCTATGCTACATTAAGAAAAAGTGACCTCAATAACAGCGCCATAACAATGAAGAGTCAGTTACAAGGGTAGAGAACTCTGTCGCTGCTTTTGTCCTAAGGTTTTTTTTTAACTTTTCTCCGGTACTTCCTGAAGAGTGTGCCACTGGGCGATGGGGCGGCGCGGGTTGGCCAGCATGTCACTCCAGTGGCGAAGCTCTGTTCCGCTTGAGTTGCATCCCAGGACGACACGCCCGATTGGTTCTGAGGTTCCTATTCTGTCATAGTCCACGACCGTCACATACAGCTGGACTTTCTATATATAAAAAAAGAAAAAGTTTTGCCTATTATGTAAATAATCGTTATTAAAATCTTTACAACACATTTAGTTGTAGTTTTAACCGTGATTTTTTTTTAAAAATACCCTTTAAAAACAGAATTATTTTCAGATAACAACATTCTTTATAATTTTTTTTTTCAACTTGATTATTCAATAGAAATGAGTAATAATATAGTAAAAATACAATTTATTATTCCCATCAAAGGAAAAAAAATTGAGAAAATATATTTCAAAAGTTATTGTCTAAAAAATGTGTCTTAAAAACTTTAAAAATATTACTTTACAACAATGAGAGTGATTGAAAAATCAAAGAATTTAACAGAAGTGTGTAAATCGAGCACAGTGAATTATCAGATAGGATACATTTTAAGAAAACTGTAAAATTTATGTAGAAGTTGTATAACAATTAAATGATAGAGACAAAAATGTGACACATGCACAATTCCCAACACAAAAATGGTGAACATCAATATACCAAAACAATTGAAACATTGCAACATGCACTTACCTTAACTTTCTAAAGCTGAGAACTTGTATAAACTCTTATTCATATAAAATATGAATTAAACCTACCATTTTAACCCTGGTATGATCATTTTCTATATTGCTGACTAGAAATTAAGCAATTAATTTACCAGAAAATGACTGCTTGATAGAGATGAATTTTAGCTTTCCTAAGCTGAAAAACTTGTTTTTACAAGACATATTCTAATGATTGTGTAATCCCCTAGCCCCCACAACTGGCCACAAAGATCTGAATTAGGGTACAAAAGTATACACTACACACAGACTACAGTCACAATGATAATCAACAATCACGTGTACAAGTGGGATCTACCGCTCAAACACCACTAGGTATTACATAGTGATCAGCAACTAGAGATTACAATAGTATAGGTATCACAGCTAAGCAATAATTGTAGTCATTTACTCTGGGTGTATTAAAAGCTTTTGGTTAGGTCTCACTGCCAAGCCAAAACTGTTCACAGAAAAAAAATCTTAGAATTTTCAATAAATAAACCGTGACTCCAGTGAAATCATTTTAATACTAATTGTCTTAATACTCATGAAAAAAATCCTGAAAATTTACTACAGATTCAAAATTAGTGACAGACTCAATTTAAGGTGCATGCATATTCAACATTATGTATGCATACAGTCCTAAGACCTAAATACAGAGATGGTGTTTTGAAGTCAACGTTTTTTCTTCAAAATGCAGATCGTTGCTAAAATTCATTCCCTCCATTTAAGCAGTTTGTTTTTCTGTGAACAGTTATTGGCATTAGCTTACACCACACAAGGAATTTTGTTAGCTGCACTATGCATCAATACTTCTCATATACTGAGCCACTAGGGGAAGTGTTAGCCACAATTTCTTGCTCAACACAAAACAACATGTTAGCAGGGGGGTTAGACTTTGGAGAACATGACATTAAGGCTGTACACCGAACATTTTTTTGGTCTAGGATAAAGACAAACAGCACTACTGTGATACACATGGCTACCATTAAACTGGTGGCCTAAACTGGTACCTGTATCTGCTCAAATGGCACCTCAAAAGTGAATGACTCGTTATAGTATGGGTTTAGAGTGCACTTCTTGATGGTCGTTTTCTTCTTCTTGACCCGTTTCCCATTTAACATCATAGAGATTTTAACATATGGATCTGATTGAACAAAAAACAGTGAAAAAAGATCAAACATTATAAAATAAATTCCAAAGTATACCCAAATATATGGCATGCATAATAAAAAATATCCTCAGCATAATTGCCAACACTGCATAAAAAAATTTCTGATATCAAAAAAAATGATAATATATGATATGTTTGATATAATTGTTGCAAGCATAATATATCATTTTATAGTACTTTGTGTACATATTGCTCCATTAAATTTTTAAAATTATTTCTTTAACTTTCGTATTTTTAAGTTGCATGGTCATTATGCTGAGGAATTAATTGCAAAAAAAATAAGATAAAATACAGTTGACACCAAGAGGAGGTACAAAAAAAAGAAAAAAAAATCTCCCAGCTGGCAAGCAGATACCTGAATCTGCTCAAAGGGAACCTCAAACGAGAAGGACTCGTTAAAGTAGGGGTTCAGGGTATTTTTCTTAATGGTCGTTTTCTTTTTCTTCAGGCGTTTGTTGCCCTGATATAGGGCTATTTTCACATACGGATCTGTTAAAACAGAATTACAGTTCTAAACTGACATGTTCCTTTAAATATATTCTCCATTTTAAGGAGTTTTTTTGTTCATTGACGTTATCTTTTTTGAACCACTATTTTTTTTTTTTACATATCAGATAGCATACAGACACAGATATAAAATAAAATAATGAAAATCTATTAATATTTTCAGTATCATGTCAGCATCATCTTCTAATGGGAAATATTGGCTCAGAGCAATTAAGTGCTTCAAGTTTTTCAATTCAATTTTCATGTAATCATTTAAAGGACATAAACAAGATATTGATATTTTATTTAAAACAGTTTTGCAGAAATACGTGTAAATATATAATTGATGTCCCCATGCAGGGTAATCGAGAAACAATTTTTTTTTTAATTTATAGAGTGGAAAAAAATAACACATGAAAAATATTGCCAAATAATATCGGACAAAGTTTAAAGTCAATTTATCCATAGAAATTTGAGAATTTTTAAGTCAAAAATTGTTCAAAATTTAAATTTGAATGTAAATAACACATATAATGTGTATCTACACCCAATCTCGTATTTTCATTTTATTTTTTCAGCTAAGATATGCCACATATAGCTTTAAGCTGTTTACTGATGCAGTATTGTGAAGTATACCTGTAATAAAGATACTGTAAGAGCACAAATATTCGTGGGGGATTAAATTTCGTTTATTTCGTTGTTAACAATTATCAACGAAATTATATCCCATAAGAAATTTCATATGACTACATTCAAAACAACGAAATTAAATGCCAACAAAACTATTTCTGATGACAAATCAACGAAATTTCATCCCCATGAAAATATGTGCTTCTACAGTATATCATTTCATATTTTGCTGGGAAAAATATAATCACAAAAAATATTAAATAAGCTTTCATGTTGCCCACAGGAATATGGTAGATTTTAAGCTTAAAGATTAGACATGATTCAATAATAGTCTTACACTTGATATTTTATTAAAAAACATTTTTTACAGTACCGAATTAAATTTTTTTTTTACCTGAGAGACCACCAACATCCATCTTCTTGAGATTTTTGGCTTCCAGTATGACGACTGTCAGTTTACCAGCTGTAGGAACGTACCGCAGGGAGAAACAAATATCTCCAAGTTTGTTCTCCTATAAATCAAAAGAATCATAATTAACATCATGCATTGATGAGTCTTCCCTACACTCAAATTAAAAAAAAAAATTTTGCAAAATCTTAAATATTAGTAAAAACATCTATAAGTTTTCTAAATTGAGCCTATGCATACATAACGAAGATTTTATTTGCCTTTTTCTGTTATGAAATGGTGCATGTAAACCTAGTAAATGTGAAACTTAATTTCTATTATACCACATTATAATCACTTCTTTGTATTGCTTTCAAGATCATAATAAGAACCATATATATATTTGACATGAGCCCATTCTGTATGCATTGCTTCCCAATAGTTCATTAAGGGATTCAGAATCCATACACAAGGAAAGTCCCGGACATCTATTTCAATTGATCTTGTGTGTCAATCCCCTATTCGGACTTCCAGCAGGAAGTTTATTCATCTTCGTTCTGGCCGAGAGCCAATCCATAATGTCCTCAAGCCACAAAGTCATCTATAGGTGGGCAAACATGAAGCATGATTACAAAGACTATCTATTGATTGCCTGAAAACTTTTCATATAAGGGTTTTCTCTTCAGTATTTAAAGCTTTGCATGTCTCATAAATGTTGAGCTTCGTTAAGCAGAAAAATACCAAAACAAACAAATCAGATATGATTAGCATGAGTTTCAAGGCTGCTTATTGATTTGCCCATCTGGAAAGGCTAAAATCATGTAAAAACCATCAACAAAACAGATATAAACTGAACTGAAGCGAACCAATAGTTCATTAGTTTCCGAGTTGACCCCTGGGTACAGGAATACGGGTGATTATTGATAAAAGTACTTCCTTAATTAGTCAACATCTAAAATACAATTCCAAGCCAGAGACAGTATTCCCAATCTACGTAAGCAGATTGAGAATCCGCAGGGAAATCTGATTGACAAGAGAGGGTTTATTTCCTTTTATAGGCTTAATGCTGGTTCACCTCAGGGGAACCAGTCTATGCACTAAGTTGTCATTACGGCAACACATATATCCCTTCTCCAGATTTTTGTTGATTGTCCTTTCATGTTTCTCTGTACTCTATATGCTATATCATATTAAAACCAAATCAATAAAGGTCAACTAATGAACTCAGGAGTTATAATACTTCAATGGATAAGTACACTCCAAGAACTGTAATTATTATATTTCCCTTCAATAAAATAAAGTATTGTGAACATGTTAATTGAATGTATTTGTATTTAACTTCAATTTACTAATGGACAACCATAATTATTATTATAACTTGCTCACAAAGAAATAACAAAAGCTGTTTTGATATTTTTTTTCTTTTTGAATTATGACCTTGATCATGACCTTTCATTGTATACTAATGCCATACTTTTGATCATAGATCAATTTACAGTGATGTATAAATATCACTATAGCAAACAAATGAACTCCCACAGAGTAAAAATAAACTGTGTGTTCTGTCAGCTCTCAGAAAGCCTGCGCCAGCAAGCTCTAAAGTGCTAAAGGAATTGATGATCTGCGCAGAAAAAAATGGACTTAACACTAACAACTGTCAAAATATACAAGTTATTTTTATACACAGTCCTCAAGGTTTTTGTATAATCATTGAATTTAAGAATCCTTACTTTTTAAAAATCTCAATCCAGGTTTTTAGATATGGATAAGCTACTCTTGAAAATGACAGCTCAAAAAGGGAGTATTCTGTACATATTTCAAAATGTTATCTCAGAGAATGGTATCTTGTCTGCTGTCTAGCATTCAGTCTGCTCTACTCATGGTACTTAACTGGTTCATTGCAATATGTTTGACTATAGCTACATTTATGGTGCAATATGGTAAATGGAAGTGGACCAATGGCCATTGAAATAAAACTTCGTAATGCAAATACAGTAAAATCACATATTTTTGTGGGGTCAAATTTTCATGGTTTGAGGAAAATACATGCGTTCACGGGGATTTTATTTTGTGGATGAAGAATTGTTGAGCAGTAAAATCTGTGAAAAATTACATTTTATGGTGGACATAAATTCGTGTGTCTCTTCATACCTTGAAAATAGGCAAATTAAACCCCCATAAAAATATGTGATTTCACAGTAGTGCATATTATGAAAATTCATAAGGTGAATTAATATTGCTTATATACAAACTTTAAATGGTAAAATTTACTTTTCAAAGTGTACAATATATATTTCTCTATAATTCTAAGTGTTAATATCTTTGACATGTATGCTGCAGTGAAAAAAATTCAGTGCAAATGTGTTTTATAAATCTCCTAGCCAGTTAAACTGGATTGGAGCTAATTTGTAATAAAAGTATACTATAAATTGTTGACTGGCATTAAAAAGAAAACTCACCAATAAAAAGCATATTTAAGCAGCAGGTTGAATTGAAATAGGTTTTCATTATTTTGTTAATGAGTCCAGCTTACAGAACTAAGAGCACTTTGATTTATATAATGTTTGTAAGATCACTCCTTCCCCTTTTGGGGTGGGTGGGGGGTTTCGGGGTGAATATTGTTTTTGTCCTGTCTGACCACCTGTTTTTCCATGTCTCTTTCATAAAAATTGAACCTTCCTAATAATTATAGACCCAAAAGAGTTAAGAACTATAGATCCTTTGTATTACTGTTCAGTGCTGTTTACACTTGAAATGCTTGTATAGTACTGTAAAATGATTATTGAAAGGGCACTGAGTAGTGGATGGACTGAAAAATTCACATATATATTCAGCAAAATTATCAGTTTTATATGAGGCATGAGTGGAATGCTTCTGCTAGGTACTAGTAAATGGAAACTGCCTATCCACATATGCAGTAGGCCTATATCCACTTTGAGAGTTATTTTTTCGAAACATTTTGTTTAAACCCCTTTCACTCATGAACTTTCATTAGAACAGGCCAATCTCGGGACATTTCTATTTTCTGTCGGACTCGTTTTGTTTACCTTTTCGGCATCGTTGTCGGGGCTGATCAAGTCCCGCCATTCCTCAATCACCTGACACAGGTCTACAGTGTTCAGGGGAATCTTCACCTGTCCAATCTGATCGTGTTTGGAAAATCGGTCAAAGTCGTAGATTGCAAATACCAGTGTTTTTCCTCCTATTTCTGCATATGGGACATTCTACAAAAACATGATAAATATTTCGTTACATACATTTCAACTTCACTTGCTCTCAATCTGTATTGATAAATCAATGACTTTGGAACATCGTGACACAAAAAAAATTTTCAATTACATCAGCATTTTCTTTTTTTTTTGGTCATAAATTCAATTCTCAGGTTCAACATCTCTTTTGCTTCCCAGTCAGGAAATGATTATCTTTGCATTTGGTAAGATTAAGTACAATAAAGTTTTAGTCAATAATGTAGAATATTCTTGGTGTGAAAAGAACTGAACTTTTGCATGAGCCATAATGGATCTGTATCGGAACTAAATTTTCCCTTACAAAAACTGCCTAATGGTTAAGAACGATTGGATTTTGTTTTCTTACAATGGCCTTCTAATGGTACAGTCTGATTGCCATTTTATGCTACAGAAATATCTCCATGAGGCAATTTCCAGAAAACAATAAAAAGTAGGGTGTATAAATTATTGATTCCAGTGTAAGGCGGAAATAATTCCCCTAGCTTGTCAGGTGGCAGTAAACATGGCTTCTCTGACACTTAGTAATGATCTTTTACCAAGCAGTAGTATTTTTTCTCATTAAACCACCCTCAGTTGAACACTCTGAAGTCATTTTTAATTTGGTGGTTCTTATATTGCCTGAAACACGCAATCTATCAAGGCAGCAAGAGAGAATTGTAACAGAGTTGGGATAATGAACCATTTCCTGCTTTATATAATCTTAAATTTACTAAGACATTTTCATTTTAAATGTTTTATAGTTACGATGTTGAAGTTGTAAAACATCAATATAATATTTCAAAATGCTTGACATAAGCCATTGAATAAATGGCAAATGTTTAACATTTTATGTTTTGCAATGGATCAGGAATTATAACACATAAAACATGATTGAAACCTTCTCTTGCTTCAATGTGGTACACCTAGTATGTTCAACACTTTATACATAAATATCCCAAATAATCCTTAGAAGCTTTACCTTAAATGTAAATGTTTCATTAAAAACAGGGTTGAGAGTTTTGCGGTGAACTTTAGTTTCGAATTTTTTCTTTTTGTCAGGTAGGAGGTAAACTTTGACATAGGGGTCGGAGGTTCCAGACATGTCCATCCCTGGTAAATCGGCGGCCTGTATCACCCCCACTGTCAACTGGAAGAAAAAATAGGATTGTATAGGAGCAATTACTAATAATCTTATTGTTATACAGTAAAACTTGTCTTATCTGGATAACACTGTTTCCAAAGAGACTGGATAAGAAAATCATTTAAAACAACTTAATTTTCTGCAAGGAACTTAAAATTTACATATTAGAAAAGACGTCGGATACTAGTAACAAAACATCCAGAACTGAAAAAGTTCACTGTACCACTACACATATAACTATACTGTAAGCTATAAAATTATAATGTAAAAAGATAAAGCAAGTATAAATACTATTCCAAATTATGATATTTATTGATAGAAATATTTCAGGTGACACAGCAAAAGTAGGCGATTTTACTTCAGAATCACAGTTACCCATAAATCTCTTTCCAGGAAAAAAAACCATGAACAGCAGCCGTAATCTTCTTTATGGGAATATGATGTGATCTAAAGTTCAATATGTCTGTTGTTTGTCTGTATTTTTGCTGACATTGAGTTCTAAAGTAATTGAAGGATTTCATGCTAAAACATTTTTAAACTATTTTCTAATTAAACGGTTGTGTCTCTGGATGATTGGTAATAACTGCTTTTGACAGATTTTATTGATTAAGGTAGCAATACCACCCCAGTCAATCTGTCTCAAATGCTTGATAATTTTCAGTCTTGCCAGTAGCTAGGATGCAATATTGATCTATGGTGGACAACAGCATGGAATTCTAAAAAGCTCTACCCATTGATTTTAAGTTTGAAGGACCTGCATTCAAAGGCCCATAAATTGATTATCTGGGCAATTATTCAAATTAAATTGGTCTCCTCACAAAAATTAGCTACCAATAAAGCGTGTAGTTAAGTCTCTCTTGGAATTCACTGATAGTGAGAAGGGGAATCAATTTCTTCATTTAACAGTCAAGGGGACCTACTTTCTAGCAGTTTCCTTTTTTTTTAAAATCAATTACTTTTTGCTTCACCTTTAAGTTTGATTAGAGTCTTACCGGTAATCGTAAATTTATTGTCTTATTCATTCAACAATGGTTAAAGGAGGATTAAAAAGTTTATTTTCCTAGTTTTCTACGCGAATTGAAACAAGAGGCCCATTGGCCACATCGCTCACCTGAGCACTGTGGCTAGGAAAAAGTAGCAATTGGTTTATTATTGAAAAGTTTAAATCCAAAAATAGTCCCATGACCAATCATGGCTTTGCTATTCTTGAGAAGATGATTTTTAAAGAATTTTCCCATATATTTCTATGTAAAACTGTGGTCGGCCATTTTGGCTCCGCCCTACCCCAGGGGGTCATGATTTGAACAAACTTGAATCTACACTACCTGAGGATACTTCCATATAAATATGATCAATTATGGCTTTGCTATTATTGAGAAGAAGATTTTTAAAAGAATCTTCCTATATATTTCTATGTAAAATTGTGGTCTTCCATTGTGGCCCCGCCCTACCCCCGGGGGTCATGCTTTAAACAAACTTGAATCTACACTACCTGAGGATGCTTCCATATAAATATGATCAGTTATGGCTTTGCTATTCTTGAGAAGAAGATTTTTAAAGAATTTTCCTATATATTTCTTTGTAAAACTGTGGTCGGCCATTTTGGCCCCGCCCTACCCCTGGGGGTCATGATTTGAACAAACTTGAATCTACACTACCTGAGGATGCTTCCATATAAATATGATCAATTATGGCTTTGCTATTCTTGAGAAGAAGATTTTTTAAGAATTTTCCTATAATTTTCTATGTAAAACTTTGGTCGGCCATTTTGGCCCCGCCCTACCCCCGGGGGTCATGATTTGAACAAACTTGAATCTACACTACCTGAGGATGCTTCCATATAAATATGATCAATCATGGCTTTGCTAATCTTGAGAAAAAGATTTTTAAAGAATTTTCCTATATATTTCTATGTAAAACTGTGGTCGGCCATTGTGGCCCCGCCCTACCTCCGGGGGTCATGATTTAAACAAACTTGAATCTACACTACCTGAGGATGCTTCCATATAAATATGATCAATTATGGCTTTGCTATTTTTGAGGAGAAGATTTTGAAAGAATTTTCCTATATATTTCTATGTAAAACTTTGGTCAGCCATTTTGGCCTCGCCCTTCCCCCGGGAGTCATGATTTGAACAAACTTGAATCTACACTACCTGAGGATGCTTCCATATAAATATGATCAATTATGGCTTTGCTATTTTTGAGAAGAAGATTTTGAAAGAATTTTCCTATATATTTCTATGTAAAACTGTGGTTGGCCATTTTGGCCCCGCCCTACCCCTGGGGGTCATGATTTGAACAAATTTGAATCTACACTACCTGAGGATGCTTCCATATAAATATGATCAATTATGGCTTTGCTATTCTTGAGAAGAAGATTTTTAAAGAATTTTCCTATAATTTTCTATGTAAAACTTTGGTCGGCCATTTTGGCCCCGCCCTACCCCCGGGGGTCATGATTTGAGATTTGAACAAACTTGAATCTACATTACCTGAGGATGTTTCCACATAAGTTTCATCTTTCCTAGCACAGTGGTTCTTGAGAAGAAGATTTTTAAAACATACCACTAAATTTTCATTAATTCCCAGTTATCTCCCCTTGAATGAGGGCGTGGCCCTTCATTTGAACAAACTTGAATCCCCTTCACCCAAGGATGCTTTGTGGCAAGTTTGGTTGAAATTGGCCCAGCGGTTCTTGAGAAGAAGTCGAAAATGTGAAAAGTTTACAGACAGACAGACAGACAGAAGGACGACGGACAAAATGTGATCAGAAAAGCTCAGTTGAGCTTTCAGCTCAGGTGAGCTAAAAAATCAATACAATGTATCAAGTTTCACAAATTATTTTTTTAAATTGATAATGTCACAAAAGCTTTGTTATATTTGTAGCTTTTGCAAGTTTTCCAAATCTAACAAGATGTGTTTGTGAAACAATTATGCTCCCTGTATAGCAGGTCAAGGTCAAGTTAAAAGTTGTTTTTTCAAAAGTAGGTCAAACTCCAGTAACAAACTCTCAATTTCAAAATGAAAAGTCTTCTCAGAAGGAAAGTAACATGCCATTGGAAAATATGAAAGCAATCTGATTATTCATACCCTCAATCTGCTCTCATTTTTTTTTATGTTGGTCAATAAACACCATGTACCAACAATTAAAACCAGAAGTCTCTGTCGAGACTGTAGCTCTACTGGTTTGTACTTATTACAAAGGGTGAGAAAAGCAGTCATAGCCATTAGACCAAAACTGTAGAAGGAGTAGCATTTTAAAGGAATTTCAGACATTTCTATTTTTAGTAACCATGGCAACACCATTCATTGAAATAAAAAAACCGATGCACTGTTTTATGTATCTTAGTGTAGTCTACTTGTGTGCCAAGTAATATTGAAATCAGACCAAAACTGTAGAAGGAGTAGCATTTTAATTTTATTTGACCGTATTTTCTATTTTTAGTAACCATGGCAACACCATTCACTGAAATCAAAAAACTTATGCACTATTTTATGTATCATAGTGTAGTCTACTTGTGTGCCAAGTAATATCGAAATCAGATCAAAACTGTAGGAAGAGTAGAATTTTAAAGGAATTTCAAAGAAAATTCTATTTTTAGTAACATGGCAACACCGTTCATTGAAATCAAAAACCGATGCACTATTTTATGTATCTTAGTGTAGTCTACTTGTGTGCCAAGTTACATTGAAATCGGACCAAAACTGTAGGAGGAGTAGCGTTTTGAAAAATCGTTTACAGACAGATGGACAGACAGACAGACAGACAAACAGATGGACGGACGACGGACACCTTACCATTGCATAAGCTCTTCTGGTCTCTGACCAGTAGAGCTAAAAATGAAAAGCGGATTGGGTAGCTGATTTTAATCAGATTGAAGCATCAACCATATCAGAAAATATGGCAAAGGTAAAAGTTTTTTTTCAATTTAGGTCATACCCCAAGGTCAAAATAATGAGGTCAAAATCATTGGTTCCAAGGAAAAGGTCATTTCCTAAGTAATATGTATGGTATGTGAAATACATGTAATACAGACCTCGTTCTTTGTGAAGTCGTAGTCTAACTGGAACTGGAGCTTGCCGAGTTTGACCTCGGACTTTGTGCTCTCGTTGTCATCATCTTGTTCCATATTGACCTCAAGTTCCTCTAGATCTGGCTGAATCTAACAATGTACATCAATGTCAAGGTCAAACAGGACTCTAATCAATTGTCAGATAAATTAAATGTTCTAAAGTTTCCATATCTCTGTGACAAATTCTTGATGAGAGAATTTATAATTTTACTAGAAATTTAAGTCAGACATCCCTTGATATCTATATTTGAAAGATTGATTTTCTTCGTCTTTTTTATAATCACATGATGATAAACTACGTATATTTAAAATTTTTATTTAGCCTTAAAGTGAGTCATTTAGAACATTAAATAAAATCAAGGAATATCTTAGTACTTCAAATTGTATCAAATAAGAAAGTGTTGGAAATTCAACATCATGCATTTTGTCTAACTACAGCTGTCTTAAAAATTTGTAACTACTGACTGAAATAAGAATGAAATATTAAACAATACATAAAATGTATAAATGACATTTGACAAAAATAATAATTGTCAGAAAATTCCTAGTAGATTGGGGGATAATTACATAACCATCCATATGGGAAAAGTCCACTAAAACAAAGAAGAGAGTTTTTCAATTTGATTAAAATCAGATCCTTTGATCCAATCACATAGATCGCTACACAAGGATCTGAAGAAACCCCATTCAGGGTCATCTCCTGATGACCTTTATAATAAAAATATTCATTAAAATTTTGACCAATCAGAGAGATCATATTGAAATGACGTTCGGGAAAATGAATGTAGAAATGAAAGTAGCTGTGGAGAAGATATTATCGTTTCGTACCAAACAAAGAGATGAAAACAGAGACAAAAGCAAGTACTTATTATATTTCTGTACAGAAAAGACTGTAGTCATTCTCTTGGCAGGCTACGGAAACTAGGTCATGATTTTCTGTTCGTGTGTCATCGAGGTTTTTACTTCTGTAACTAAATTCAGAGATACTTCTAAATTCTTGGAAGTAAATGTTTGATTGGATAATTTAGAGGTCACCAGGAGATGACCTTGAATGGGGGGGTTTCTTCAGATCCTTGTGTAGCGATCTATGTGAGTGGATCAAAGGATCTGATTTTAATCAGATTGAGAGTTTTTTTTTCTCTAAGGCTATAAATGAGGACTATTTTTTAAATAAGAGACTTAGATCCTTGAGTATCATTCCTAAATCTATACTTTAAGTCTTGTAATTTCCGAGATATGACGTAATAAATTTGTCTTTTAGGCCTGAATAGGCACGCCCTTCTAATAATTAATATTTAGGCAATCATCTGATCAGCTTTATAGGGAAAGGCTGATCAAGCAATGATTTACAATTCTTTACATGTTTAAAGCCGAATATCTGTTTTACTTGATCATAGTGTGTTGGATAAGGGGACTTATTCAGCTATAATTATCTATATAAAGCAGGTTTTCACTTCTTGCCAACCAACCCATCCTCCCCTTCCCCCCTTACAAAAAAACCCTGATGAATTTTGAGAAGAAGTCGAATATAAACTGTGTAATTCAAAGAAGAATAACACAAATATTAAACACACAAAAAATATACAAAAATCCTCCATAAAATAATAAACAGAACTCTGAGGGAGAGAGCTGCAATTATTAGAGCTATAATCATAAATAATAGGTGTTTGTACATGAATAAAAATATATCATGCTCCATCTGACCTAATTAAAAATAAATTTAAACCAAATTTTGGTGAGCAGATTGAGTCATGCTGTATAGTTAGTAGTCTGTCAGCAGACCGTGAAGGAAGCTAAACATTCCCAGTGCTTTCTCTGCTTGGACTCACGTTTTCTTTCTTCAGGGCAAATTCGAGTCCCGGCTTTAAGTTAGCCTTCAGGCCCTTCTTCCCGTCCTTACTTTTGCGTTTTTTACAAATACATCTTTTACATATACAATAACAACAACACAACAAAACCAGGAGGCAAGCCACTCCTATGGCAATGAGAGCCCACATTGGAATACCCACTACAACAGAAATAAACAGAGTTAAATCATCCCTCGGGGACTTACTTTTTCTTTTTTAAGGGAGGCTCCAATCAGTTGTACTGCCTTGAGGTCCACCGGCCCCTTCAGCCCCTTTTTGCCTTCTTTCTTCTTGCGTTTTTTACATATACATCGTTTACAGACACAATAACAACAACACAAGAGAAAGAGAATGGCGCCAGCTGCTATAAGTATTAATGCCCATATAGGTACTGGAAAAAATAAAGACACAAGCTGAGGTTAAAGCAAATCAAGGTTTCAAGGAAAAATTAAGATGAAAACAATATTTTCCTAATATGATTTAATAACTGTTCATAAAAAAGGGATAGAATGAGTGAACTTTAGTACGTCATTTGGAACCTTTTCGGCTACCCATTTTAATCTTTGCATTACAATATATCGCTAAATTAATCTATGATTATCGTGCAATCATATGCTTTTGATATTTATGCTTTGAATTTTTTGTCATACATATTTCTGTAATTACAGACAATGCCATTGAAAAGAACATATATAAGCCTTAAATTCCAGAAATTTGAACGGGACCACTATCGAATTTAAGATACCCGCAAATAAGCGGAGACATTTAAATCGCATGGATGTGGAATGTAAACAATAGCACATATGATTTTTTTGCAATCAGATGCTACACTACGAATTTAAGTGGTGAAGAGAGAGATTGTGTAGTTTCATGGTGCACAAATAATAAATGATTCTAGTGTTTAGGGATGGGATAGATGCATCGCCCTGCAGACCATAATACATGCAGAGGCGACATCGTCCTACATTTACTAATCTCACTACCAATACCAGAATTCTTTCAAAACACTCTTAACGAAAAATACACTGTCAGTAAAATTAGAGATATATAATCTTCAAACCTTATTAAAATTGCGCAAAAATCTTCCATAATTTTAAGTTGGAAGTATGATAGAAAGTGTCTGAATAGAAACTTCAAATGACAAACACAATGAAATGTTCAATGAAAGCGTTGGCGTATCGAGCCGTGGAATGTCACGTGAGTAAAGTGATTATAATATCTAATCAATTGTTGACACTCGTGGACCTGTTAATTTTGTGGCAAACTCGACGGTAGTTTGGAGACTTTTTCAAAAAATTAGATATGAGCCCCAACTTGGCCAACGTTGTCCTTTGGATATGTATAAGTTTAAATTAAAATACACATTCTGTGCAAATGAGACCAATGGCCAAGTTGCGACTCGATGTAAACACTGTCATTGAAAACTGGTATGCATATGAATAACAATAGAAATGTGACAAAACTATTAGACCCCCGTCTCAAAAGCTAGTGTTGCTAGGCATTATTTAGTTCTTTCATGTAATATAATATACCAAAACCTGCTCTTAAGACATTGTTTAATACCTATGAAAAATAGATTTAATGAAATTCGTGATTTTATTTTGCACAAAACACCAGGATCCAAATCTCATAACTTAAGTGCACTCATCCTTTTATTGAATTTAAATATACATGTATTCAAATCAATAAAAGTAATAAAAGTTTATGTTTTTATGGATATTGCATGATAACCTTTGAGGATAAGAAAATAAAATTAATTCTTGACTCAAGAAACTTAGTTGTCTTAGGAAAATAAGACCAATTTAACATACATTTGTTTAGTTCCTCGGTTACAAGGTTTTTGAGTTTGTTTATCCCCTTGGGAGACGCAGTAGTGGTTCCTGATCCCCCGTCTGGGACTGCAGTTGTGGGCCCTGGTGAGGCCCCTCCATCAGCAACTGCATTATTCACCGCCTCCTTAGCAACAGAACCTGCTGTCGTAGCAACGACCTCAACCCCTCTCTTCACTCGATGAAGAAGATCCATTGCTAATGCTGGCATGTTTCAGCTTGAAATCCTGCACAAAATAAAAAATAAAACATATTACTTAATAATATCAACTTCATAAATCAGCTTCACAGATTAATATTTATTTTTTTTGGATCACACGACACATATTGTGACCTTTTAATAAATTCCAGCACTGCGTAATACATTCTCTCATAAAAATCTAATAAATAACCTTTTGCAATATTATACTATAATAACAGATGTCATCTTTGTTTCTGGTCTGCAGTACAAGTGAGTGGGCTGGAAACCACTGATAATTACTATACTAATTTGAGATTTTTTTCCTATATGTTGCGTTCATTATGTTTCGGGCAGCGTGTGTGCGATTCTACATGGTACTTTTTTCCACACTGTAATTTGTCTTGTGATGAATGCCCATAGAATCATGTTATTAATGTAGCCTTCCTTCTTAATTTTAATTTCAAATGTCAATGAACAGGCTTACTATTTTGTGGCAAATACTTGTAGAATCTATAATGATGAACCCCAGCTATTTTTGTTGACGTCAGAAGAGAAACTGATCAGACAGATACCAAATTAATAAATTAGGATGTCTCTAAAACTGTTAATTATATTAAGAATATTTTAATTTCAATTCCAATCACATGGAGTACTTCATGTTTACAAACATTGTTACTTTGAGGGAAATTGAAATCACATGCATGAAGCAAGTAGCAACTTGTCTGCTAGTATATTCATTGCAGTGACCGTAGATTGTGAACGATTGCTTGTCTATAGACCTATCATTATTTATATAATTGTCATATAACACATTAATAAAAAGCACCACTAAGATGAGGTTGTTGGTCTTGAAAATTCTCTGCATGTGCTCCAGTAGCCTTTATGCCATATAAATTCACACAAAACGACTTGTATGTCAATTCTTGAGAACATAATTGAATTCGTTAGTGGATTGTTAATCTTGGATTTTTACATGTATTCAGCAACAAAAAATATAAAATGGTCTGACATCAAGGTAAATTTTGAAATTACAACATCGTAAAATCTTAAAGTTCTTGCACTGTTGTTATTGTGCTGCAGCTTTCTCAGAGTCAAGATATGCTTCAATCAAAACAGAGCACTTTTCTGTAGATAAAAAAAACAAAGTTTCTTTAGGAGAGTAATTTTTTATAAAGAGCAAATTTTAAGAAAATTCAAATGCTGTTTGCACTTTGGTTTGTTAAAAATGAGATTTAATGCACTAACTTGTCCATGAACAACTGAAACTTTAGAAACGTGTACTGTGATGAGACACATTCACATTGGGTACCTTCTAATGCATTTTTGTCTAGAAACATGTTCAATATAAATCTGATTTTTTGTGCAGAAATAAAAAAAAAAAACTTAGCTAGCATATAAACTGAAATTTCAAGTCATTGATATACGAGAGCTAGATGTGGGCTCCTTTTTTTTTCTTTCAGAGTAGAACCCCTAGTATGTAGATCAAGATGCAAGTTACCATATTATGAGGCATTTCAGGGCCCATCTAAACTGTTGTTTTAGTTGTGAATTTCTACAGTCAATTAAAGAGAGTTAATTTTGAAATAGAGCATTAAAATGTGTCATTATAAAAGCATTTGGGGTGCTTTAGGCCACTGCAATTGAGACAGGATTGTGTATAAACAGACAGAAAGACTGACTATGCTATCACATAAGCTCCTGAAACCAGTAGAGCTAAAAACAAACCTAAAATAGCTACTGCACAAAGCACTAAGCTTGACAGAACAAATAATCACAAATGTCAATTTTTTTAAGTTTCCTTTGACAAAAGAAATATTGATCATTTCATGAACAGAAAAGAGAACATTGGGTCCAAAATAAATAAGTCAATTTTTGCTTCTCAGTAATATTTTTTTTTAATACAAGCATTGAAAACAAAGATCATTTCAGCAGTATAATTAATATCTGTGTCCATTCATTATAGAATCAGCATTCACTGGCGGTATGGGGGATGTTGGGGGGAGCAAGCTCTCCCCACTTTTTTTTTTATTTTAAAAAGTGAAATATCATGGTGTATATAACTAACCAATATTTCCACTGTTTTGTGCATGGTTTTACTCTTAAAATAAATGAAAACCAAGGAGTTTCCAGGGGCTTTGCACCCTAGAGCCCCTCACCACGGCTTCACCCTGGATTTCCTGTCTGAATGGAGTAATCCATCCCCCCCCCTCCTTAATCACAAATCCTGTATCCGCCCACAGGCACTTGTTTCGGTAATAAATTTTTTACCCATAGTTTAATAATAACACTTTTATTAATAATATTATTATTAAACTATGGGTTAAAAATCTATTACCAAAACAAGTGCCTGTGTATCCGCCCATGGCATTCAAATATGTCCAATGGACTTATTAGTTTACAACTATTCATAAATCAGTTCTCATGTACATTCCTTTTGACCCCTTCCCCCTTTTTAATTAACTAATAAAAGTACATGTACAATAGTGCTTCCCTATTTGGAGAAAGCTTTACAGTGTGTTGTAATATATAATCACAGTTTGTAATTGACAGGATGCTGCCATTGTACTATCCCTGAATATCTGTGTCTATTTATGTTCAACATCTGTTAATTTATTATTATTGTATAAGTAACAGGTTCTTCAATACACATGTATTTATTTATCATGTCAAAATGTTTCGAGATATTTATGTATTCTTTTATAGACAACAGCTTTAGAGAGATGTCTTTTTTCCTTAAAACTGTGCTATTTCAAGGTATTCTCAAGAAAATTGATACTTTTAATTTATATAAGGCCATGAACACATCGTTGGCTCAACACAATGCACACCATACATCTGACATAGTTATGATTTTGTAACAGACCATCAAAAGGCACTCCTACAAACACTCCATATTTGAAATAATGCCATAAGTATGATATCTGTTCCTAATGTGAAATATGTAAATACTATATACATGTATGCTTTGGAAAAGTGAGAACATGTGCTGCCTTTACTAAAATGTATAGGTCAGATGGGCAGCATCAGAACACTTGTAGTTCAAAAAAGCAATGAAATCAAGTCCTTAGTTACAAATACAGTCAAACTTGGGTATTTAATGGAAACCTAGGAATCGAAGCTGTGAATTTACTTCACAAATTCATTAAAGTACAGAATTTATTCTTAACCTCTGTAAGACCTAAAATCAGTTTACTACATGATTGTATTATGTCCATTAATTCATTATATTCAGAATTCATTGTAATGGTAAACTTGAACAAGAAATTGTTCAGAATTTTGTTGGTGAATCTGAAAAACATTTTGTAATTGCTAAATCCAGAAATTCACAATATTTGTCTTTATACTAAATAGGTTTTACTGTAGTAAACAAAATTCTGTTCATAGGAGGCGAAGTTAAGGAAATAAATAGTTAGATACAGTTAAATTAGACAATATCAGGGATCGACATTAGCGGTTGTCTGATTGACCGGGACAAGTAAATCATTAGTTAGGGCAAGTGAAACTATGGATGTACTTGTCCGATCAGGCAAGTGGATATTTCTGATAGAAACATTTTTTTTAAATCTTACATTAGCATTAGTTAGTTTGATTAGTTTATAAACAAAACAATAAATTGAACAGTTAAATTGATTTCTGCCAAAAACCTGACATCGTTTTTGCATCCGGAATCCCTAGGTAGCATTTCTGGATCATACCTGTACTTTTATTTAGAAATCGGGTTCGTTATTGTTTTCTTTCGTAGTTTACAAAAAATACACTCTCCGTCTGACAACTTATTATGAACTTACGAGTTATGTTACATTCTTACGAAATAGATATTAGAATAGTTTATTTATTCACTTACAGAATACAAAGAACACCAGTTGTTCTCAAAGCATCTTGATTTAAAACATCGTTACTGTTTTCCTTTTAGCGAGGGGGGGGGGATTAAATTTCGAAAAAAAATTATAAGGAAATATTATTAGTGCATTGCTGTGTGTGTTTACAGGATAGTAAATGACAGGAAAGTTGTTTACTTTACATATATACAATAACAAATTACGATAAAGTAACTGGTATTTTCTTCTTTTAAATTTTTGGGCAACCAAGTTTTGCGTTCGGACAAGTCAAAATTGTAGTTCACTTGCCTGAAGGACAAGTGAATATAAAAGTTAATGTCTATCCCTGAATATATGAATTAACATACATGTATGATTATTTGCTTTACGTAACAAACATTTTTGTGCAGTCCTTCCAGTGACAGCAATATAACTACATCTACAAAAAGAAATTTGAAAAACTAATTATCAAAACTAATTGTATTCAGTCAACATCTTACAAGAACAAAGAATTTGCTGTGAGGCATGAATACTGATTAAAGTGAATACATGCATAATAAAGAATGGTTAGGGGATATGCCATGTATTCTGGATTGGGGGCATCATGCCACATAGTAGTTAACGTAAACAAATGGCATAAAATGTATATACCTAGGTTTGGTGATGGCTTCCCCATCATTGCCATTTAGAACTGAGCAAATATATAACAAGTCAGTTCAGAGTAAGTCAACCAAAGACACCTAGGTACTTAATATTCTGAACAATTTAATTCTTTTGGTAGTCTCATGTCTTCATAGGTTGCCAATACCAGACTTCAAACTAAATATTATAGACTGTCAATCCCAAAGAATACAGTTGACCTTGACCTTGTCCAAATAACAGTTAATAAAAGATCATGACCATCCTCTGTGCCAATCTCATTTGATTTGACTAGATTTTCTTGATCTAGAATCTGGACACATCTGATCATAGAATACCTTTGTGCTAGGTGTATAATAGATACTGTAAATCTGGAAATTTTTGCTGTAGATTAATTTTTAGCAAATTTGTGAGTTCATTGCATTCGCAAAAATATTTTTCTTAAAAATAAATCACCAATAAGAAAATGTAAACAAAGCAGTGGTCATTTGCAAAATTTTGAAACGTAAAAATTTATCAACAGCATTTTAACCCGGATTCGCAAAATAAAATCGACGTAAAAATTAGTAATCTTCATGTACCATGTATT